AATAAAAAGGTGCACAAGCAGCAGGGATAACCGCAGCCTGGAGAGGATTGTCAGGAAAAGGCCATTCAAAAGTGTTGGGGACTTTCACAAGGAGTGGACTGAGGCTGGAGGCAGTGCATCAAGAGCCACCACACACAGACAGATCCTGGACATGGGCTTCAAATGTCGTATTCCTCTTGTCAAGCCGCTCCTGAACAACAAACAATGTCAGAAGCATCTTACCTGGGCTAAAGAAAAACAGACCTGGTCTGTTGCTCAGTGGTCCAAAGTCCTCTTTTCTGAGGAGAGCAACTTTTGCATCTCATTTGGAAACCAAGGACTCCGAGTATGGAGGAAGAAAGGAGAGGCACAAACTGCAAGATGCTTGAAGTCCAGTGTGAAGTTTCCACAGTCTCTGTTGATTTGGGGAGCCATGTCATCTGCTGGAGTTGGTCCACTGTGCTTCATTAAGTCCAGGGTCAACGCAGGAGATTTTGGAGCACTTCATGCTTCCTTCCGCAGACAAGCTTTATGGGGATGCTGACTTCATTTTCCAGCAGGACTTGGCACCTGCCTACACTGCCAAAAGCACCAGAACCTGGTTCAATGACTGTGGGATTACTGTGCTTGATTGGCCAGCAAACTCGCCTGACCTGAACCCCATAGAGAATCTATGGGGCATTGCAAACAGAAAGATGAGAGATATGAGACTGAACAATGCAGAAGAGCTGAAGGCCGATATTGAAGCATCCTGGTCTTCCATAACACCTCAGCAGTGCCACAGGCTGCTAGCTTCCATGCCACACTGCATTGAGGCAGTAATTGCTGCAAAAGGAGCCCAAACCAAATACTGTGTACATATGCATGTTTATACTTTTCAGAGGTCCGATATTGTTCTATGTACAATCCTTGTTTTATTGCTTGCATGTAATATTCTAATTTTATGAGATTGTGGATTTGGGGTTTTCGTGAGCTGTAAGCCATAATCATCACAATTATGACAAATCACAGCTTGAGCTATCTTGCTTTGCATGTAATGAGTCTATCTCATATATTAGTTTCACCTTTTAAGTTGCATTACTGAAATAAATGAACTTTTGCATGATATTCAAATTTTTCGAGTTTCACCTGTATATATGTGATTTTGCATTTCTGGGTAGGGGGCGCGTGCCCTACCTGTGCCGCCATTAGTGGTCGTGGCTGTCAATCACCAGATCCCGACCAGTGATTTCCGACAATCTCCGACGAGGGGGGGACTGTTTTGTTTACTAACAGTTCTCCTCCCTGTCAGCTTGGAGGAGGGAGGGTATGTGGGAGATGGTGGAGCTGAAGGATCATCAGCAATAGGAGATGGAGGGCAAGATGGAATTTGGCCCACACCTGATGTTGACGGAGCTGAAGGATCATAAGCAATAGGAGATGGATGGCAATATGGAATTTGACCCATACATGATGTTGATGGAGTTGAAGAATCATCAATAGGAGATGGAGGGCAAGATGGAATTTCACTCACACCTGATGTTGATGACACAGGTTTTTTGATGGATTAAATTCTGTCTACCCTCTGGAAAAAATGATCCATGAGTAAGCTCCTCATGTTGCACAGCAAGGTGTTCAGTTAAGTTGTCCTCTTGCAGATCTAGCTCCAGCTTCTTGCTAAGGGTCACTAAGTTGTTGAAGACCTCTTTGGACTCCTTACTCATCTTCTCAAGTCCATGAACTTCATGAACAAACTGCGGGCAAAGGTTCTTCTAAACCCCATTCATGGTGACAGCCAAAACCTCACACCAAGCAAAGTTGATGTTTTTTATGGCCTTGTAGATGTTATAGTCCTTCCAAAATTGTTGTAAGGTTGTTTCTCTTTCATCAATAGCTTTCAATGCCTGACAAAAAGTGTGATGTAAATTAAATTTCTTGAAAGTCGCAATAACTCCTTGGTCCATAGGTTGGATGAGTGCCATAGTATCCGGTGGCAGATGCATTACTTTGACGTTGGGATTAAAGTCATCTGTGAATTGGGGGTGACCTGGTGCGTTTTCAAGCAGCAAAAGAATGTTGAATGGGATATCTTTCTCCAAACAATATTTCTCTATCTGGAATAAAGTGGTGGAAAAACCAGTTCTGGAAAATGGCTTGTGTAACCCAGGCTTTGGAGTTACTCTTCCACACAACAGGTAGAGAGCCCTTGGCTATGTTTTTGAGGGCTCTTGGGTTCTCTAAATGGTAAATTAAAAGAGGCATATCACCAGAAGAATTGCTACCAAACAACAGAGTAAGTCTGTCCTTTGCTGCTTTGAAGCCTGGCATCACCTTTTCCTCTTTACTGATGTAACTTTGTTCTGGCATCCTCTTCCAGTACAGTCCTATTTCATCGATGTTAAAAACCTGTTGGGGTAAATAAACACCTTCGTCAATAATTTCTCTAAGTGTTGTTGAAATATCTTGAGCAGCTATGGTATCTGCACTTGCAGCCTCACCACTTACTTTTACGTTGTGGCTCTTCTGAAGATGCAAACTGTTCACCCCGTTTTTTCTTCTAGTCTGCAAACAGACTTTTAGCTTTTTCTTGAATAAGCATTAAGCTGAGCGGGACTCGACGCTGATGCCGAATCCACACACTAAGAAGTTTCTTAATCTCCTCTATCACTTTACCACGGTTTTTGGATATTATTGTTGACTTCATAGACACAGCAGACTTCATATGTTCCATGATCTTGGCCTTGTTTTTTAGAATTATGCCAATGGTTGAACGATTCATGTTATACGAATGATCGATATCTATCATCTTTTCGCCTCGGTCCAATTTCTCAATTATTTTCACTTTTGTTTCCATGGTTATTGCTTTGCGCTTAATAGCATGCCCCTCCACATCACCACTGCTTTTCCTCTTGCTTCCGAACAGTACACTATCGCACTTTACAGTAAGCACACAGCAGCACAACTGTGACAATATCCAGCAGACACATGAGCTACTTCAGCTGTTCGCATCTACGAATGTTCATAAGACGAGGTCCATTTGTATCTGTGAAAGTTCGCAACTTGAATATTCATAAGTCGGGGGCTTAATGTACAGAGCATTCTCTGAATAACGCCTGTGGCAAGCAGCAGTCGCACATGCAGCAGGGTGTCAGAAATGGACTGGCCAGCAATGGTGGGACTCACCTGCCTTATGAGCTGCAGTACCAGGGCTGGCCAGCGGGTGCTCCCAGCAATCAGAGACTCAACCTTGCAGCCAGTCAAACACCTGGAACTGATTATACTGGTGTATTTAAGGGATGACCAGACCTGCAGACTCGGCTTTGGTGTGTGTTTCTCCTGGGCCCTGTATCCTGCTCCCTGTTCCTGTTCCTGTTCGATTCCTTGCTGACCCTGCTCTGATCCCTGGCTTTGTCTGACCATTCTCCTGCTCCTGATCCCTGGCTTGTCTGACCATTCTCCTCTGCCTGACCCTCTGTACCACGCTGCCCGCTACCTGCTGAACCTGGCTTGTGACCCCGACCATTCTCCGTTTGCTCCCCCTGTACATACCTGCCCAATTGATATTGACCCGGGCCTGCCTGACGACGCTTGTATTGTATGTACTGTCATCTGTGGGTGGTTGGTTTGGTTTGTTTGCACTGTGTTATGTTTTAGTATTGCACTGCGTTTATGTTTGTATTGTTAGTGTTAATAAATTATATTGTTTATAACATATCTGAAGTCTGCGTTTCCCTGCGTCAGTCACACACCTCTGGTCATACCCGGGAGCCCTGACATTACACCAAGGCCAATCCTGACCAGAAGTGGCTGCACAGGGAAGCCATCTTGGTTTGTTGATGGGAAGGATGGATCTTGATGAGGTTGTGTATTTATATCTGCTAGTGTTTGATGACAGAGAGTATGCTTATCAAACTCTGAAGGAGTATCCCCGGGATGAACTGCTAGAATGTATACGGCTCGCTCATGTTCTAGTAGATCAGGGCACAGAATTCTCTGAGGTGCAGCCATTGATTCAGATTTGTGCGGAGTTGGTTTCATCTGGTTCCCCCGAATGCAGGGATGAATTTTTGCCGCCATTTAGTGCCGACCAGGTAGAGTCCCTGGTATGGTTATTAGAGGATGATGTGGATTGCTTCTTGGAGCATTATGCTGTATGTTCACCACAGATACTAAGAGATTGTATAAACGCAGTGCAGTCTTTGGTCAGACAGGCTTTGTGTAAGCTCAGCTTTGTTCAACCCATACTGCAGACATGGACAGATTTGTTGCACCCAGCCTCAGTCAGCCTACAAAAACCCAGTCCTGCTTCTAATCTATTTCCTCAAAGCTCTATTCCTGCATTCCCAACAGCTCCTCCTGCCCTGCTATCTACCGCATGTCAGTACCCTGTTCCCACTCGCTGCACCTATCCTGCCTTTAACCCTGTAAAAAAGCCCTCTGTAGCAACTGCTCCCTCCCCTGTTCCATCCTCCAGCTCTTCTCTGTCTCCAGCTGCTCCATTCGTTTGCAGACCTGCGTTTACTTGCAGTGCTCCAGTAGTTAAAACCAGAAAAAAAGCGGAAATTCTTTCCAACCAGTACCATCCTGCCAGTATCCAAACCAGAGAGCCTGCCGTCTGAGAACCTGCCTTCCGTGGTTCAGCCTGGTGCCTCAGCACCCGCACTTCAACCTGATGCCTGTACCCAGCCTGATGCCTGTACCCAGCCTGATGCCTCTCTTCAGCCTGATGCCTCTCTTCAGCCTGATGATCCTATTAGGCCAGTTGACTCGATGCCCATTGTTGATCCAGATGATCTGGTACCTGATCCGGTGCCCGCTGTCGTGCCAATTGACTCAGAGCCCGCTGTCGTACCTGGTGACTCGGTGCCCACTGCCTTGCCAGATGACGCGGTGCCCGCTGGCGAGCCACATGACCTGATGCCTGGTGACCCAGTGCCCGCTGTCATACCTGGTGACCCGATGCCCGCTGTCAAGCCAGACGATCCAATGCCTGGTGACCCGGTGCCCGCTGTCGTGCCAATTGACTCAGAGCCCACTGTCGTGCCGGGTGACTTGGTGCCCACTGTCTTGCCAGATGACGCGGTGAACGCTGTTGAGCCAAATGACCTGATGCCTGGTGACCCGATGCCCGCTGTCCAGCCAGACGATCCAATGTCTGACCCAGTGCCTGCGGTCATACCAGTTGACTCAGAGCCCACTGCCTTGCCAGATGACGCGGTGCCCGCTGGCGAGCCAAATGACCTGATGGCTGGTGACCCAGTGCCCGCTGTCATACCTGGTGACCCGATGCCCGCTGTCGAGCCAGACGATCCAATGCCTGGTGACCCGGTGCCCGCTGTCGTGCCAATTGACTCAGAGCCCACTGTCGTGCCGGGTGACTTGGTGCCCACTGTCTTGCCAGATGACGCGGTGAACGCTGTTGAGCCAAATGACCTGATGCCTGGTGACCCGATGCCCGCTGTCCAGCCAGACGATCCAATGTCTGACCCAGTGCCTGCGGTCATACCAGTTGACTCGGAGCCCACTGCCTTGCCAGATGACGCGGTGCCCACTGTCGAGCCAAATGACCTGATGCCTGGTGACCCAATGCCCGCTGTCCAGCCAGACGATCCAATGTCTGACCCAGTGCCAGCGGTCATGCCAGTTGACTCGGAGCCCACTGTCGTGCCTGGTGACTCGGTGCCCGCCGCTCCGCCTGGGGGCCCGAGACCTGTCACTCCGCCTGGGGGCCCGAGACCTGTCGCTCCGCCTGGGGGTCCGGCCCGCCCCGCCGCTCCGCCTGGGGGTCCGGCGCCCGCCGCTCCGCCTGGGGGCCCGAGACCTGTCGCTCCGCCTGGGGGTCCGGCGCCCGCCGCTCCGCCTGGGGGCCCGAGACCTGTCGCTCCGCCTGGGGGTCCGGCGCCCCGCCGCTCCGCCTGGGGGCCCGAGACCTGTCGCTCCGCCTGGGGGTCCGGCGCGCCCCGCTCCGCCTGGGGGCCCGATGCCTGTCGCCCCTCCTGGGGGCCCGATGCCTGTCGCCCCTCCTGGGGGCCCGATGCCTGTCGCCCCGCCTGGTGGCCCGCTGCCTGCTGCTTCGCCTGGTAATCAGATGTGCCTCTGCCCGGAGTCCAGCCCGATGTGCCTCTGCCCGGAGTCCTGCCCGGTGTGCCAGTCTTTGATATCCCGCCAGTTAGCAGACCCGGGCGGTGGAACATTTTGCCCAGCTAGGACTGTTTGGAGCGTCCTGAGGCCGCTCCTTGAGGGGGGGGTACTGTCAGGAATGGACTGGCCAGCAATGGTGGGACTCACCTGCCTTATGAGCTGCAGTACCAGGGCTGGCCAGCGGGTGCTCCCAGCAATCAGAGACTCAACCTTGCAGCCAGTCAAACACCTGGAACTGATTATACTGGTGTATTTAAGGGATGGCCAGACCTGCAGACTCGGACTTGGTGTGTGTTTCTCCTGGGCCTGTATCCTGTTCCTGCTCCCTGTTCCTGTTCCTGTTCGATTCGTTGCTGACTCTGCTCTGATCCCTGGCTTTGTCTGACCATTCTCCTGCTCCTGATCCCTGGCTTGTCTGACCATTCTCCTCTGCCTGACCCTCTGTACCACGCTGCCCGCTACCTGCTGAACCTGGCTTGTGACCCCGACCATTCTCCGCTTGCTCCCCCTGTACCTACCTGCCCGATTGATATTGACCCGGCCTGCCTGACGACGCTTGTATTGTATGTACTGTCATCTGTGGGTGGTTGGTTTGGTTTGTTTGCACTGTGTTATGTTTTAGTATTGCACTGCGTTTATGTTTGTATTGTTAGTGTTAATAAATTATATTGTTTATAACATATCTGAAGTCTGCGTTTCCCTGCGTCAGTCACACACCTCTGGTCATACCCGGGAGCCCTGACACAGGGCATCCACTTGGCGTGGTAACAATGATTTCCAGCTTCCATTGGCATTGGTCAGGTATCATATATGCATAGTTACATTGGTCCAAGCTGTATAGAATATCCATATGAGGAATTCTTCTTTAAGCCCACCTTGTAAGGATAGGGTATACCACCCCTATTCAATGAAAGAGCAAATGTTTGAAAAAAACAATGCTTTTAATAACTTTTTTTAAACTTTGCTTCTTAGGTCATGTGACTATATCTTCTACAGTTTGTCATCTCCTGGCTCACAGGTGGAGCTAAGCCTTAGAGAGTCATGTGTCCTGGTGATGGGTCCAATAAGTGAACCTTTTACTTTGTCCTGCATGAGCAAAGGTAAGTATTTTATGTATATAAGTTAATAAGTACTAAGTCCATCACATTTCCTAACTATTAACCAGTTAGCCAATGGAAACATAAACCCAACAAAAAAATATTCATTCAATTGACTTGCAAAGTGGTTTTGTGTGAAAAAAAAAAACAAAACCAGTTGGGAAGTACATTTTGTAACTGGTGTTATTGATTGACTTTCCAGAGTGGTATCTTCATGATGGTTCTAAATTTCCTGGGTGAAATCTCCTGATGGTTTAGTATGGATAGCATGATATGATGCTCTTATTATAAATTCACTTACAGTCATGGCCGAAATTGTTGGCACCCTTGATATTTCTCCAGGAAATCATGTATTTCTCACGAAACGTATTGCATTAACACATGTTTTGCTATACACATGTTTATTCCCTTTGTGTGTATTGGGACACAAAACAAAAAAAGGGAGGAAAGAAAGCAAATTCGACATAATGTCACACAAACCTCCAAAAATGGGCTGGACAAAAGTATTGGCACCCTTTCACAACTGCGGATAAATAAGAATGTTACAAGCATGTGATGCTCCTGTAAACTCACCTGGGGCAAGTAACAGGTGTGGGCAATATAGAAATCACACCTGAAAGCAGATAAAAAGGAGAGACGTTCACTTAACCTTTGCATTGTGTGTCTGTCTGTGCCACACTAAGCATGGACAACAGAAAGAGGAGACGAGAACTGTCTGAGGACCTGAGAACCAAAATTGTGGCAAAATATCAACAATCTCAAGGTTACAAGTCCATCTCCAGAGAACTAGATTTGCCTTTGTCCACAGTGCGCAACATTATCAAGAAGTTTGCAACCCATGGCACTGTAGCTAATCTCCCTGGTCGTGGACGGATGAGGAAAATTGATGAAAGATTGCAACGCAGAATAGTCCGGATGGTGGATAAGCAGCCCCAAACATGTTCCAAAGACATTCAAGCTGTCCTGCAGGCTCAGGGAGCATCAGTGTCAGCGCGAACTATCCGTCGACATTTAAATGAAATGAAACGCTATGGCAGGAGACCCAGGAGGACCCCACTGCTGACACAGAGACATAAAAAAGCAAGACTACAGTTTGCCAAAATGTACTTGAGTAAGCCAAAAGCCTTCTGGGAAAACGTCTTGTGGACAGATGAGACCAAGATAGAGCTTTTCGGTAAAGCACATCATTCTACTGTTTACCGAAAACGGAATGAGGCCTACAAAGAACAAAACACAGTACCTACGGTAAAATATGGTGGAGGTTCAATGATGTTTTTGGGGTTGTTTTGCTGCCTCTGGCACTGGGTGCCTTGACTGTGTGCAAGGCATCATGAAATCTGAGGATTACCAAAGGATTTTGGGTCGCACTGTAGGGCCCAGTGTCAGAAAGCTGGGTTTGCGTCCAAGATCCTGGGTCTTCCAGCAGGACAATGACCCCAAACATACGTCAAAAAGCACTCAGAAATGGATGGCAAAGAAGCGCTGGAGAGTTCTGAAGTGGCCAGCAATGAGCCCAGATCTAAATCCCATTGAACACCTGTGGAGAGATCTTAAAATTGCTGTTGGGAAAAGGTGTCCTTCCAATAAGAGAGACCTGGAGCTGTTTGCAAAGGAAGAGTGGTCCAAAATTCCGGGTGAGAGGTGTCAGAAGCTTATTGATGGTTATAGGAAGCGACTGATTTCAGTTATGTTTTCCAAAGGGTGTGCAACCAAATATTAAGTTAAGGGTGCCAATACTTTTGTCCAGCCCATTTTTGGGGTTTTGTGTGACATTATGTCATATTTGCTTTTCTGCCTCTGTTTTATATTTGTTCCAATACATACAAAGGGAATAAACATGTGTGTATAGCAAAACATGTGTTAATGCAATACCTTTTTTGTGTGAAATACTTGATTTTCAGGAAAAATATCAAGGGTGCCAACAATTTCGGCCATGACTGTACATACACAAATTATTTCAATAATCACAAATCAGTTTCTTTCACAGCTGAAACCTTGGCACTAAATGGGTTTGAAGCCAAAATGTTAAAAGTTGAAGTTCTTGGTTTTTGGTTATCAAGCACTGTGGACACAACACACCTCTAATGAAGTACATTAGAGTGTGTAGAGGTACATCCTATGTACTTCTCCTATAATCCATAAAAAGCTCTCTTTCGGGCAGCGTGCATATAGTATAGGATTATACTATCCTACACTATACTATATCAGTATAGTGCTGGACAAAAGCTGACAAGGATTTCTTCTTTATTGGAAAAGACAGAATATTACATTATAGCCAATATACCTCTACAAAAAACAACAAACAATAAACAAGCTTCAACTCACCTCCACCACCTATGGACAGAAATACTATGCACAGTATTCCATATGATAATAGTTGTTGCCTTATTGTCTGTGTAAACAGCATGCTAACACTTTCAGTTGTCATTCCCTGAAATGAATAAAGACTGGCACAGACAGATTTTGCGAGTCTATCTCATGTGCTCTAAAGTTGCACAGAATATGCAAAATTCATCTTAAATACATTGCATGGAAAAATAATTTTTGAAGACAAACACAACTCCATTAAATTGCATTTTATATACCATATTTGTCTGAAGGGTATCCATAAATCCATTCCAGGACAGGTAAAATAATAGTTTATAGGACAACGGTCTCCCACACCAAGTAAGACTGCCAAACAGTGTGTAACTGTTACAGCGTGTTCAGCACACAGAAGACCCTTACCACCAGTGAAATTACATTTAAGTGTGCCATTTATCTTCAAAAGTGCTAATAATCCACAGATAATGTTACTAAAAATACAGTAGAGGTATGTCAATATAAGGTACTAATTCCAATAGGGATCCTAATACGCAAAAATGTCTTTAATGGTTAGAATACTTTATGAGAGACCCTGTTGCCAGACCATTCATTTTAACAAAAATCTTTCCATAAATGTATAAGTGCATTTCATGTATATTTTCATGTTATTTACCTGTAAAAGCCTCCCTTGTAAGAAATCCAAATGCCCTGGTACTGATGCTGGGCACTTTCATCTTAGATATCACATCTAAGATGGTGGCACCAAGCAGTAGTCTCAGTACCTTTTGGTAGCCCCAGAAGATTTAGAGCTGTCTCACAAGTGACAATCTAGTATTTTCATTCGTTCTTCCTCTTGCAGTTACATGAAGGTTGTTTTTGGGGACGGGGAGGGGCTGGCCAGCACAGACAGTAATTAAATTGCAATCTTGAACTTGCATTGTGATTACAAATATGGCTGCTGGCATACAAAGTTCAATATACCAAAACCTAAAATCCAAATAAAATAAAATTATGCAGCGCCAGAAAATCAAATAATCCCAAAAAGTGCAACATAAACATATAAAACAAAGTGTTTTATGAGATATGCGATAAATAAAGACTAGTATAAATAAGAGTTCCAAGGACATTCAAGTGAAGGTATCTTCCACCATTCTAACAGGTCCTCTCCGTGTATGGAAGTCACAAGGTGCCACCACCTTTAATAAAGTGAACATAAGCTGTAAGGAATACAGCAATCACAGCATGTATCACAAGCATGGGTCCTCTCAAGATATATGTACACCATTCTTGGAATGACCTCCCTTTAACAGCACCAGAATCCGAATCCATCTACAACAAGTAAAGATCAGTGAGCCAATAAATAGTGGTGATACGAGGTGGTATCAAAAGACTAGTTTTGAGATTCGTTTTATAATACACCAACAGATGGCAGCTCAAAGCTGCATGCAGTCATAGGGAACACCAACCTTCATTAGTCA